CAGGCCTCGGAGTTTAAATATAGACAGCCAAGCCTGTAATTCGCCTCTCCTCCCCACGTTGCGGTGTCTATAATTAGAGCCGGGAGACAGCCATGGAAGAGCCAGAAGCCAGGTGGTGAGGCCTTGGCGTTCACGGCGTCCTTATCCAGAGGGGAGGTCAAGACCGCATCAGAGGGCCAGGGGCTCACCTTGCAGCTGGGCTCGGCTCCCAGGCCAGAAGGGCCGTCACCAGCCGTCACCCACGACCGCCACCTCAGTTTGGAAACCCAGCTGCTTGCGCTGGGGCTCAGACAACGGGCTTTTGCTGGGCTCGTGGCACTGAGCTCGACCTCTCCAGTCTCCCCTCTGTACTGCAGCCAGGGTGGTCCTTACAAAGCCCAAACCCAGCCCTGCCCTCCCCTGCTCAAACCTCTCTCATGGCTCCCACTGTCCTCAGGACCAAGTCTTCACTGCCTGAAACTCCAGGCCCTGTGGAATCCGCCCTTTCTCGAGCCCTTTCAAAGGCCAGGAGCGAAGGGCTCTGTCTATGTCGTTTCCTTTCACCCTCACAGCAACCTGTGCAGCAGGGGCAGCCATTCTTTCCACTGCACAGATGAGGAGACCAAGGCTTGGAGCAAGCGGAAGCTACTTTCCTCGTTCTTGCAGCTGCAGCCGGACAACACGGGCTGCTGTCTCCACCTGGAGCCCAGGTTTTAGCTGCACCCTTCGCCCAGGGGCTCACTGCCTGCCTGCAGTAAACAGCACTCAGAAAGTGGCTGTGCTGGAGAAGGGTGGGCTTGAGGGCCCGCCTCATACAAGCCCCCGACTTGACAGAAGAGGGACCGAGGCCTCGTGTGGGACAGGGCTCTGCTTGCCTGGCTCTTCTGCCCACCTCGGTGCACTCACCCGCCTTGCCGATCTGCACAGCCAGCTTGGTGAGCTTGCCCTGCAGCACGGACTTCTCCTTCTTGTGCATGTTGGCCTTCTTCTTGTCATCGGCATCACCGCCCTCGGCGCTCTTCAGGGGCTGCATCTCCATGGCGGCTGCCCCGTCCTGCTGTTTGGCTGCAGAGGGCAGAGCATGCATGTGCACACAGACACGGACGCACGGATGCAGGTCAGCCTGCGGGGGGCAGGCGGGCCCCCGCCCCAGCTGCCCACGGGAGGTGGCGGTCACTCTGCCTGGCCCCGCATGGCTGGCACAGAAGTCCTGTGAGGGGAGGTCCCGCCTCTGCCAGGTGGGGCCTCTGGACTGGATCTGGAAACTGGGACACAGCAGGACCTGACCCGAGTATACTCTGCATTCCTACCGGGGTCGGTGGGGTCCCCTCCAGGCCTGAAGATGCCCATAGACCCTACTCTGAACGGACCCCTGGTCTTTCCCACATTCACACGAGACAGACAGACAGCCTTGGGCTTTCCATAGGGGGTCCCCAGGGCCACGTTGTGGGGATATTTAATAGCCAGTGGACATGAGGGACAAGACAGGACTTCAAAGGGGAGAGAGGATCTCCCCACCCAGCCAGCCTGGCCTATGCAGAGCAGGCCTCAGGGGCCTGTGGCCCTCCCGGACAGTGCGTGCCCCTAACCTCGCAGGATCTTAGAGGAACGGGTGCAGGGGAATGGAGAGCAGAGCGCCGAGGCTGGAGAGAAGGGCTGCGGGTGCCCTCTGCCCTCACGGGTCACCCCTCTTTCTTTGGCCCGGCACCCCGAGGCCGTCAGACAGCACCCATGGGGTGAACGTGTCTGCCTCGCTGTGACCCTCGGAACCGACGGGGAGGGGCCGTGGGGACACCGAAGCTGGGTAATAGGAAAGGGTTACCTTTGCTCTGGCTGGCGTCCACATTCCCATCCTGCATCTTACCTACA